TGTGCGCCTTCCTATCAGTCCGGCCGGCACCGCGCATAGCAGAGGAGCTCGGCCAGCTACAGGGGAGGGGAGAATATGTGCTGCAGCCGCCTGAGGCTCTAAACAGAGCGCTCAGGCGGCTGCAGCATTTAAAGGGCCGGCCCTGCAGCGGCCGGCCCTGACAGAATTTAGGGCGGCCTGGGGGGCAATTGCCTCCCTGCCCCCCGGCCCAGCCCGCCCCTGCGGGCGTCTTAGATTACCCCACACACAGGAGAATTATAGAATCACTGTTCTACTTTTACTGATCAAACACATATAATTAACCCTTTTTGGTAACGTGTTTACCTGAGCTTTCCTCTGGAGAGTGAAGCTCATAGAGAACAGAGACACAAGCTGATTAAGTAAACATTTAATCTGACAAAAAAGATTGACAGTGCTGAGTACAAAATACAGAAATAAATGACATACAGATAACAAATTGCAAAACAGTGCATAAAATAAAATAAGAGAAAAAACAAGAAATTCCTTACATGTAGTTACCCCATATAGTATTCTTGTGGGAGTCTTAGATGGTATAGGTCTCCTAGAAGTTGCTGACCAAAGAAAAAATGAATAACTCCCTGGATAGTCCAGCACCCTCATTATATACCTAAACTAGTTGTTTCTCAGTGGGCAGACCCCTGGGGGGGAGGATCAGAGGGGGTGGTCTGGCAGTTTATTGCCCACTCTATGCAATTCCCTGTGTTCAGTTCTGGTGATGGCTATCTAGATGTTTTATGGTCTAGGCCTGGTGCAATATCAAAGACCACAATAAATGTCATCCCAAGGTTTACAAAAATACAACATATATCAACACACATCAAACACCAACTCATGCTTTTGGCATGACAATAGGTCATGTCAAACTAACCTGATTGCATTCTACAAAGAAGTAAGAAGAAGTATAGATCAGGGTGTTGCAGTGGATGTGATCTACTTGGATTTTGCCAAGGTATTTGATACGGTTCCTCACAATAGGTTAGTCTTCAAACTAAAAGAAATTTGTCTAGATGAATATTCTTGTTCTTGGGTAGAACATTGGCTTAATGATAGAGTACAACGAGTTGTCATTAATGGTACATTTTCAAGCTGGACAAAAGTGGTAAGTGGTGTCCCTCAGGGTTTTGTTTTGGGACCGCTTCTATTTAACATATTTATAAATGATCTTGAAATAGGCATTGAAACATATTTCAGTGCTTACAGATGACATAAAACTTTGTAAAGTAATAAAATGTGAGCAGGACATTGCTTTGCTGCAGAGTGATTTGGATAGATTGGGGGACTGGGCACTAAATTGGCAGATGAAATTAATGTAGAGAAATGCAAAATTATGCACTTCGGGGTCAAGAATGCACAAGCAACTTACACCCTAAATGGTAATGAATTAGGGATAACCACAGACGAGAAGGATTTGGGAATTGTTATAGACAACAAATTAGGCAGCAATATGCAATGTCAATCTGCAGATGCTAAGGCCAGTAAGGTTTTGTCATGTATAAATAGGGGCATAAATTATCAGGATGAAAATATAATTTTGTCTCTTTATAAATTGCTGGTAAGACCACACCTTGAATATGCTGTGCAATTTTGGGCAACTGTTCTAAAGAAGGATATCATGGCATTAGAAAAAGTACAGAGACAAGCTACAAAATTGATAAAAGGAATGGAACATTTTAGTTACTAACAAAGGTTAAAACATTTAAATCTATTTAGTTTGGAAAAACGGCACCTCAGGAATATGATAACATTATACAAATATATTCGGGGCCAGTACAAACCATTATCTGGACATCTATTCATAAACATAGGACACAAGGTCATGCATTTGGGCTGGAAGAAAGGAGATTTCATCTAAGGCAAGGAAGTTTTTTTTACAGTAAGAGTAATAAGGATATGTAATTTTCTGCCTAAAGAGGTGGTTTTATCAGAGTCCAAACAGATGTTCAAACAGCAATTGGATAAATAATTGCGAAAACATAACATACAGGGATATAATTTCTAATTAGTGGGGTAATAGCTGCTTGATCCAATGAGATATCTGACTGCCATTTTGGGGTCAAGAAGGAATTTTCTCTGTTGCAAAATTGGAATTGCTTCAGATTGGGTTTTTTGCCTGTGAGGAAGGCTGAACTTGATGGACACATTCTCTTTTCAGCTATGCAACTATGTAACCACCTGAGGTGTAGACCACAAGCTCCCCCACTGGACAAGCAGTCTGCAGCACCACAGGATCATAGTGACTCCCTACAGAAGACTTAGCAGGAGACGCAAATAAAACCTTTTTTTTTTTTTACAACATACACAATTCAGCACATTCCATTTCATGCTAACATTAAAGCCCACAAAGTCTGTCTGTCTGTCTATCTATCTATCTATCTATCTATCTATCTATCTATCTATCTCAGAGTAGAGAAATAAACAGAAGTACGGTCCAGGAACCCAGATATAGATCAAGGGCTCATGGGCTGTTTCCCTGTAACCAACTATTGTAGAGCTCCTAAAGTGAGGGCGTAACCCTTTAATGATGTAAATGTATCTGTATGTTTGAAAGGGTGATAGATGACAGATTAACAATCTGCAAATCTTTTATGTTTAATGGCAGTGTTTTCGCTGGCCCCTGTTGGTGGACACTTAAACCCGTCTTTGTCCGACACTCCTCCTCCCACTCTTCGATGTGGGACCAGTTCGGACATGCAGGGGGGGGGGGGCTACGTCCACCTATGTGCCCTCCTTGCTTGGCTGTACGTCATACAGACATTTCCACTCACAGTGTCGACCAATCAGGGCACTCGGGAGCGGGCCACCTTATATGATGTCTGAGGTATTTCCTCTTTGAATGAGTGCATTGCCAGGACCCTGAGACATGATGCTGCTGAGATCATGTGATTCAAACTAGAAGATGGAGGAACACCCTTTGACTCTGATGTTCACATGACATGGAATAAGATGGAACAAATGGCCCCTATCAATATTGTAATTAGGATTGGATTCTATATGCCCCTCATGATAAGCTGTTGGTTGAAACCCATTGTGCTGTTGGGAAGAAGAAGAAGAAGAAGAATCCCTATACACTACATACCATAAGCACACATATTAGATCCTCTACAATAACACATCCCCTACATACTCCACTCCCTGTGAGCGAACTCATGGGTGGCTGGAATATATAAGTGGACTTATGAGTGGGCCATATGGCCATACTCACCATCAGGCCCTGGGGCCCAGACCTTGAGCTGTGTAAGGGGCCCCAAAAAAATGGAGCTGCTTCCAGTTCTCCCAGAACATTGAATTTTGTGACCACAGTTGCAGGGCCGGTGCAAGGATTTTTGCCGCCCTAGGCAAAAGTAAAGTTTGCCGCCACCCCCCCCATGTGACATCACAATGCCCAACCCATATGATCTGCCATGTTAACTAACACCAGTGCTGCAGTGCCGCCGTGTTTACATTAAAAGGCCTGCAGGGACAGGCTATAGACACCAGAACCACTACATTAAGCTACAGTGGTTCTGGGGACTGTAGTGTTTCTTTAATGTGAGGTAAATAGAGATTAGTGCCACGAATAATATACTAGATTGCCTACTTACACCCAGATGAGGATGATGATGGGCTCTAGCTGCAGTCTGGCTCCACTGGTCTGTTGTAGAACAGGCTCTCTGGAGGCAGTTTGTAACTGTGGTCACAAAAATCAATGTTCTGGGAGAACGGGAAGCAGCTCCATTTTTTGGGGGCCCTTTACACAGCTCAAGGTCTGGGTCCCAGGGTCCACCTTCATGTTCCACCAATGAGTTTGTTCACAGGGGTGGAGTGTGTAGGGGAAGTCCTGATGTGTGTAAGGAATGCATTCTGTGAATCTGTTTGTATGTGTAAGGGCTGCGAGGTGTGTTTGTGTATGTATGGGATGCAATGTGTGCGTCTGTAAGGGATGCATTGAGTGTGTGTAAGGGGTGCATTGAGTGTGTGTAATGAATGAATAGTGTGTTTCTGTGTGTGTAAGGGATGCATTGCTTGTGTATGTGTGTCTGTGTGTGTAATGCATTGTGTGTTTTTCTGTGTGCAAGGGGTGCATTGTGTGTGATTGTGTGTGTGTGATGGATGTCAATCTCCCCCCCCCCGTCAATTTCCTTCTCCCCCCCTCCAATTTCCTTCTCCCGCACCCCTCTCCAATTTCCTTCTCCCCTCCTCTCCAATATATATATATATATATATATATATATATATATGTTACATCAAATTAAAGCCCTTTCTGTCCTTTAAAAAACGGTGTATAATATGTGTCGGTGCAATAAATTAGTAAAATGCAAATTGCAGTTGAACGGAAACAGCAAAAAATGCTGTTGTCTTTAAGTGAAAGACAAGCTTCTGAAGCTCTGTCCTTAAGGGGTTAAAAGACTGTGCGTGTTTGTACCCAAGAGGACCGTGCTACCTGCAGACAAGGATCACAATATGGAGAGATGCCCAATTTAGTTTAAAAAAAAAAAGCCAAATCTGGGTGAGCCAAAGATAGTTTTCATTGGGTACAAGCTTTGCTTTTTCAAAATGTCCCATTGCAATGCGTGGATGCTGGCTTGTTGCCAAAAGTTATCTTCAATATAATTTTCCTCAAGCTTGATTGAACTTTTTGAAGGTTTTCAGATTTTTGCTTAATAAATAATCACTTTCATGAAAAATAAGCTGGATGATCAAGAACCCAAAATGAATAAGAAGTTGAGTGAATGGGAAGCTAATATCAGTCTTATAATAAGAAGCATCATAAAAGCATGGTTAAATCTTGCTTATAAATTGGCCATTGTATTCAGCCAGTCTTAGCATCCCTTTTTTTTTTTTCAATTTGTTTTATTGAAAATTTTATGATTGTCATCAATATCTGTCGTATGTGGTATATGGGTCAATATACATCAAATAGTATAGAAACATTCAACTGACATATAACTAATATAGAGGCATGCATTGGCCCTTTGTGAAGAGGAAGCTCACGCCATGTTAGTCGCCCTCCTGAACAGTCATTACAGATTTTTTTTACTCATCTAATCGATTGTCTAGTTATGCTGTGTTCTGACTCTCCTCTGAGTGCAGGTGTCAGTCTCTTTATTTTTATGGTGCCGGGTGTTCTGTCTTGCTTGCACTTGTTGTAGTTACTGTTCTCTGGTTCCACCGGTATGTCTTTGGGCGGTGTGGTCTCTTGCTGCTGCAGTACTGTCAGACCGGCGAGTTGCAAGAAGCTGTCGGGGTCATCTTTTTAGGTAAGTGTGTGGCTTTCCCCTTTGATGACAGTGGTGAGGGATCCGTCCATGCCCCACCGGTATCTTATGCTAGCGTCTCTCAATTTCTTGGCCAGTTTCCTATTTCCATTAGGGCTGAAAACAGTGTGTCTGGGTACACTGCCACTCTGTGGCCTTCGTGAATAACCGTTCCCAGTTCCCTGGATCTGGTCATTATGGCGGCCCTCACGGAGATGTCCGTGGTGACAATAATAACGTCTCTGGGTGCATCTTTAGGTGCCGCTGCCGATTTCTGCACCCTGAAAGCTGTGGTGATTTGTGCCTTGTCTGTGGGGCTTTTAATGCCAATGACTGCCGTGAGGTCGTGGACATAGGGTAGGAGCTGTGTATTTTCTATGGTTTCGGGGACACCCCTGAGGCGCAGGTTTTTTTGCCTGTGCCTTGCCTCCATAGTGGTCACCGTGCGCCTTAGGTCTTGTACCTGTGACTTGAGCTCCTGCAGGCTCTGATCCGTATCACAGAGTTTTTTTTTTGTCTCTGGAGGTCTCCCGCGTCTCTAGGCCGCGGACCGTGCGGCATACGTCCTCCACATCTGTCTGGACCTTCTGGAGGTCCTCTCTCCAAATCTGCCTCAGCTAGACTAAGAGCTTTTTTATATCCCCTTTGTGGACCGGTGAGGCCTCTGATCGAGGTGATAGCAGTGATTCCACTTCCTCTGCAGAGGCTTCGGGTGAGTAGCAGGCCTCAGGCGCCATCTTAGGTCTCCGTGGGGGCTCAAATGATAGTCTTAAGTCGGGTTGCTTAGGCATAGCTGAGCCTTGATTCTTTTTGTTCTTCTTCCCCATTGTCTCTGCTTGGGGGTATTTCTTGTCTCGGTGTGTTCTTTTTGTTTTTCTGTGGTTTTAATAGTTTATGTCTATGATTTTGAGTGGAGCTCTGCGAGGAGATGTGTCCTCGGTTCAGCTGCTGGCCACGCCCCCAGTCTTAGCTTCTTTGTCACCACTGAAAGCTCATGTTCGGCTGGTTAAGCATCATTGGAAGTGAATTTGGCTGGTTAAAGGATAACCATGCCTCCTTAAATATAGTGATTCAAACACAGCCCTGGCCAATCAGCATCTCCTCATAGAGATGAATTGAATCAATGAATCTCTATGAGGAAAGTTCAGTGTCTGCATGCAGAGGGAGGAGATACTGAATGTTTCCCATGACCCAGGAAGGATCTCTAACAGCTATCTGAGGAGTGGCCAGTGATGTTATCACTAGGCTGTGATGTAAACACTGCATTTTCTCTGAAAAGACAGTGTTTACAGCAAAAAGCCTGAAGGTAATGATTCTACTCACCAGAACAAATTCAATAAGCTGTAGTTGTTCTGGTGACTATAGTGTCCCTTTAAGCATCATTGGAAATGTAAACGTATCTGCAGTGTCAGATTTACCTCTATAACCACAGCTTCCCATGTTATTTCCTAATGTTAGGGCAGTAGAATGAGGCATAACATATTCAGTAATAATAAACACCTGTAATTATTTGTATTAATTTGATATACTTGCCCAACCAAGTCTGTGTCTGTGCCCTGGGCTGAAACAATCAGGCATTATTCACTTCCTAGCAGGTAGGAAGCCCTGTAACTAAGCAGCAGAGGGCTGCACTACACCCATCAGAGCTAATGATGTTAGTCATTCCAGACAGTGAACATTAATGCTTGGCTGAGTTATAACAAATGAAAAAGAGAATACGGCCAGATATTAATAATAAGGTGTCTAAAATCTTGTAATTGAAGAGTAGCGGGTTTGAATGTGAAGGACGACATGACATTAATTATAGTGTTTCTTTAATTTTTGGCTCTATTAACCTGTCGTTCTCTCCAGCAATGTCAGAGGGCTAGGTAATCCCACAACTGGATCTTTAGCCCCTATATACCCCCAGAGATGCTGATGATTGCCAGCAAAAAATCTGGAAGTTTAGCATCCAGACTTCAGATGTCTGGAGAGTCTGAAATCCAGTGGGCATTCATATTTGGTTACTGAATAGCAAAATCACGACATTGATAAATACTGTGATCAGCGTCTGCATGTCCCAGACAACACCGGTTTATTTTCCATGACGGGGGCATGTAAACATGCATACCATTTTGGAGACGTCCATCTGACATAACACTTTGATAAGGAAAAGGAAATCCACTACAAATTTGATTTGGTTTTCAAAATGGATTATCCCATTTTCCAGGTTTCATTACAGGCTATATACAGCTTTTGGTACCTCTCAGGTTCTAGACTTGCTCTCCTGTGGGGCAGGGGGCTACAGAGATAAGTCTTCTGAGTGGAAATCAATACATTCCAAGTCTGGCTGAAAATGAGCAATGAAGTTTATTTTTGTACAAGTGCCTTTGATCTCTTTGTAAACAGGTCTGTGAATCTAGACAATAAATTTGAGATCTGCAATTTTATAGCTTTCATACATAAGGGGCCAAAAATAAAATTGTGTATAAAAACACTTTACAAACTGGTTAGTTTATCTTCATTGCAAGTTTCGTGTTGTGTTGTTTGTATGAGTAATAGCTAATGGATATTGGAGCAAAATAAATAAAATAAAATCAACATGGAATTGTCTTGGTGGGTCTACTTACAAAACTCCAAATGGCAACATAATGCCGCTCAGTTTTAACATTTTAGCTATTTTAATGAAATATAACTCATTTGGCTATTTACAAGCAGTTCACCCTTGTAGTGAGCACTGATTAAATGGTAAGATGTTGGTGCTCCATTTTCCATAGATACAGCTTTCCAGCTGAAGTGCTAGAGGTTAACACAGTGAGGGAGTTTAAGCATGAGTGGGATAGATATAAGGCTATCCTAGATACACGAAGGTCAGGGACCAAGGTAAAGTATTTAGAAAATTGGGCAAACTAGATGGGCCGAATGGTTCTTATCTGCCGACTCATTCTATGTTTCAGTGACTGGAGATTAATATTGCTATTCATGTAACACACCATAGTAAGTAAATAATTGTCCATTTCTCTGCTTTATGCAAATGTAATAAGTCTCAATCTCTTGGAGGACGATATAATGTGGAGACATGGTTCCTTCAATTCCATAATCAGGAGGTGCCCAGAAAGCTCTCTGCCGCAGCCAAATCTGCTATCTCTTAACAAGTGAAGTGTAGGTCAAATCAGGCAGTTTTGACAGATATGAGGGAAGTTGAGTCCTGAGCTGCATGTGGGTGGTATTGGTGGGGTCTGGGGTTGTGTTGAGGACTCCTGGTTGTTTTCGTATCTGTTTCTCCCTGCCAAAACATCTTATGACTAAATTCACTGTCTGTGCGGTAAATGTCGAAATCAGCAATGAAATTCTTATGAATATTGTAGGGGTTCTTTCGGATCAATTTGTTAATAATTCAGTTGTTAGTGAATTCAGTAAACCACAGATTAATTTTAACATCTGAATGAAGAACTAAGCTGAATGAAATTAAATCAGCCAAATTTACAAAGGCTTAGTAAACAGACTCCTTGATCTTATCATTAAATTGTGGGACTTGGAAGAAAATTATGATAATTACCCTCTGCCAGATGACCAGTGTTGCAGAAATGTTACATGCTTATATTAAGTTATTGTGAAATTTTTATTTACCTTAAATCATCCCCAAATACATTGTATACAAATCACAGACATACATGTATTCCACGTCAAATTTTAAGATATACTCTCCTCACTTCCATTCCAGCAAGCCATGACTTCAGCATTGTTGGTGTTACTGTCTTTGTAACGTCCACTTGTGGTCCACCCTTCACTCTGCTCGATCTCATCTGTGATCCTCCGTGGCATGATGTTTTTTTTTATAGCCAGTATGACAGTGTGAGAATGGAGTGACGTTAGTCCCTCTGTTTCTAAGATCCTTATCAGCATTAGCAGCATAAAAAAAGAAGTTACCATAGCAATTGTGGCGCATGCAATGTGGTTGCTATGTGTGGAGAGCAGTGGGAGGTTTTCTGCTCTCCCTTGTCAGTCAATTTTTTGGCATAGAGTCTATGCCAAAGAATTGGTTGACAAAGGGGAGACAAATTGATATTTTGATAGCTTTTACTCCCAATCCATACATTTGCTAGTAAATCTGCTAGCACAACGTATAGATGGAATTTTATGCTCTTTCAAAAGAGCAAATGTTATAGGAGTCATGATAAAATCCCCTTTGACATAGTTGGGAGAGAATAGCAAAGAACTTTGATTTTGATGATATGTTTATGAATATAACAAAGGTAATCATTACTATATCATGTAAACAGAAGTGCAGAAATTTATCCATGTGTCCCACCTTAATACTGACATTATGAGTCCTTTAAAGTATTTGAGAATAAAGGCTGTTGGAGAACAGGTTGTGAAGCAATAATGCTTAAACCATCAGAAATGGAACACTATAGTCACCTAAATTACTTTCGCTAAATAAAGTAGTTTTAGTGTATAGATCATTCCCCTGCAATTTCACTGCTCAATTCACTGTCATTTAGGAGTTAAATAACTTTGTTTCTGTTTATGCAGCCCTAGCCACACCTCCCCTGGCTATGATTGACAGAGCCTGCATGGAAAAAAAACTGGTTTCACTTTCAAACAGATGTAATTTACCTTAAATAATTGTATCTCAATCCCTAAATTGAACTTTAATCACATACAGGAGGCTCTTGCAGGGTCTAGCAAGCTATTAACATAGCAGGGGATATGAAAATCTTAATTAAACAGAACTTGCAATAAAGAAAGCCTAAATAGGGCTCTCTTTACAGGAAGTGTTTATGGAAGGCTGTGCAAGTCACATGCAGGGAGGTGTGACTAGTGTTCATAAACAAAGGGATTTAATTCCTAAATGGCAGAGGATTGAGCAGTGAGGGTGCACTATACACCAAAACGGCTTCATTAAGATAAAGTTGTTCAGGTGACTATAGTGTCCCTTTAATCATTATGCAAATATGTGCAGGTTTGCTGGTGTGCAGTTGATTTCCTTTGGTAAAAAGGTAA